TTTTGCAAATTAGTGTTTTGATGAAGTTCCTTACGAAACGGAAGGTCTACTCCGGAGAATTTCGTCACGTCTGTAACAGAAGGAGAATTTTGCATCACATCTTCTAAAATCATTTTTGTAATTCTGAGTGTTCTAGCATATTACTGTAATATTACAAGCATTGTTTGCACAATTTGCGGTTCTTTTCTTTGTATTACACATTCTACAAATCAGCATGAGTTGGGAAAGAAGGCAGGGTGTGGCTATAGAAAGCATGCTCTGACCACCCATTCCCTCCAGTGGTCCATTTACTGTAGGCGCATGTGGCCATTACTGAGCAGCACAGCACACCTGTGCCACATGCTTGTTTTGCTTTTCTGCAGGTTTTCCACCATTTTAAGTCATGTCAGGTGTTTTTCTGTCCACAGTTCTAGAATTCAGCACTAAACCAATGTGTTCTACTGTCACTGAATTCATTCTTATTCACGTGACGTCTGGTTAATGTTAGTACCCACCCAGCATTAATGCTTCATCTCTTATAAGATTTCATTTTCAGCAAAGCACAGTGTTAAGCCTAAACTCTTCTTTTCCTGGAATCCAGCTTTGCATCTTCCCTGCTCTCTTTTTGTTCACTTAGCATGTATGCATTCTGCCATCGAGACTTTTCCAACTCGCTTAAAGGATGGTTGAATATTCTCTTTAATTTTTCATTGCCTGTCTCCCTATGTTCCAGTGTCTTGCTTCCCGTTTCTTTTCTTCATCAATAATGAAAGCGCTTTCTCTCCAAGAAGTAAGAGAGAGGCATTTTCATTATTATATTTCATTATAAGTAGGAGGTTATTAGCAAGAGAGGGTTTCAAGACGCGTCGACCTTCGAGATGTAATGTGAAGTATATTTGCTTTTCCCCTGATAACAAGGGAAATGGAAGCTTTTGTGGATAAATGCTGGGACCCTTAAGTTCACATTTGATCTTCGACATGGTCTCTGTGCTTCACACCCATGGGATCTAGTGTGCACGCGCTAGATCGATCGGTGCTGTAGCAAGCTCTTTTAACGGATTTTCACGCCCAGTCCCTCGGGCATGCGCAGGAACCCCACCGCGCATGCCCAGAGGGGTGGGCACGGACATCCCGCCAGTTCCTTTCTTACTGCCGCATTGAGTAGACCTATTTTTTGTCGGTCAGATCGGTTCGCTTTTGGCTATTCGCCTCAGCTCTTAGGAATTATTTCCTTAGTTTAATTTTCCTATCTTTTCTCTTTTTATTTGCTTGTTCTTCAAAAACTTTAGAAAACAAAAACAACATTTATTTCTGTTGAGGGGGTCTACCGATTACCTCAGGCCTTCGGGCTATTCCCACCCCTCAAACGTTCCCTCTTCTTCGCTTTCTTTTATGGAGAAGAAGTGGGGTTTTTTCAATAGGTGCAAGGGTTGCGGCAGCAAACTTGCTCCTCCCGACCGTCATACCCTGTGCATTTTTTGTCTCGGAGAGTCTCAGCGGCCAGAGTCCTGTCGTCACTGTGCTCGTTTTTCTAATCAAACACGGAAAAACCGAGCTGCACGCCTTAAAGTAGCACTGCTTGAATCAGCCCTTACTCCTACCTCAGCGATGGAGGAGAGACCATCAACATTGGCAAGCTCCGGCATCGAGACCTGCCTCCGATTCCGACCGCCCAACACCGAAGCTCCCGGCATCGAAGACACAATCTTCCGCTTCAACGCCAATCAAAAAGAAGGC